GTAGATCGCGACAGAACTGCGGCACAAAGAGCTGCTCCAGGACGAGATAGTCGAAGTCACCGGGCACTTTTTCCTTTGCCAAGCACGTGGGGTCCTTGGTTAGACACGTAGCACTGGGAGCCGAGCAGATATCCACGCACTCTCCGGAAGACGTGGAGCCGTCGACCCAACCACCAGCGTAGTCAATAGCTTGCGTCTTCGTGAAATGAATCTAAACAAACAATTGTACATATTTTTTTACCGCGTACCGGGCGATCCGTAGAACAGGTCGGGGTTGATGTACCTTTTTAATTAACTTCAGGGGAATACTTAAAAAGTTGTACTATAAAGTGGCAACTGACATACTACATTAGTTGTACTGCATTCTAAACCGAAATCACGTAGGCAGGTACTTTCCTATTGATATGTGGAATGGCATAGCCCTCTTTTTTTAGGACGATGAAACGTTTTCGTATAGTGGGAACACAAAAAAGAATAGATGTGAGAAACTTCAACATGCCAAATCTTCTTGTAGGTTTTACATCACACTACACTTATGGATGAATGAAATACGTTGATAGATTCCGCATGGAATGTGGTCTCGAACAATATCACAACCGCTTCTTTCCTAAAGTGTGTTTTTATTGTCAAGGGACCACTTTTATTTCGTCAATTAGATTTGTATAGATCGTTAAAGAACATGTTGACGTTAAGAAGATATTGTAAGGGATTTAAAAAGAAAACATAATGCATTTACTTCTTAAAAGTACGGGCAAAAGCTACCGAAGCCTTTCTCTTTCTGGAGCGTCTGTGGCTCCACGTGCCTCGCTTGCTCTTTGCTTGGAATTTTGGAAACTTGTCGAAAACCCGTCTTGTAAAAGATTCAATTTCTTGTGATCCACATCGTGCTCTTGTCGCGTAAATGTACGATTCAAGCAAATCATTCTTTAGAATGAAAACGTATCCATCGATAATGCTCCATTGGTCTATCGCTGGCACATGTGGCTTGTACCCAAGAACAACCGAATGATACACTAAACTGTTTGTGTACACAACGTCACCAGGTTTTTGAACGACCACCACTGTGCGGTGGTGGGCTGCCATCCGATTGAAAGCTCCACAATCAAACCTAAAAGAATTTTTTTTTCGCAAATTCAAAATCCAAAAAGGCAATCCATATTTTGAAACAATCCTTTAAACAAGGTGGTATGTACGATAATACCCGGCCGTAATTCACGTGACCTGGAGTTTCCCTGTTGCGGGCTTGCACCCAGCTTTCTCGTTCGCATACAACATCAGTAGAGGCTGGAATGAAAAACTTGTCTTGATATGCTTGAATTGTCCACCCGCATTGTCCTGGTGGAGTCGCCAAACCTCGGCTTCTTGATAATCCAACTTGCTTGTCCACAAATGCCGGGACATTTTGCGTTCCAAATTCGTTGTATAAATGACTCAAGGTCTCAGAGAGACGGTCTCCATCACAACCAGAAACCAAATCATTGTACGCCCCGGTGAACACTAAAATCGGGGCTCCACTCGATACAGCATTCTCCAGATTAAAACCACCACTGCGGTATCTGTCTATTGATCGCTCAATATTGCGGCATAACAGCAGACGGTTGTAGTTTACTTCTCCTAAGTTTGCGTTCATTACAAGCTCAGTTAAACCTGCTACATAGTTATTGGTATTATAATACAGCAGTTAGAATCAATTTTAAAAAAAAATAAATAAAATAACTTTAATGCGTACCTCAAATCTTCAGGCGAGTTGGCGATGTGCGCCCCTGGAGCAGCCATCGGCTTCTCACCAGCGCTAGGCGTTTCTGTGGGTGTCTCGGCTGTGCAGGGGGTCTCCCTGGACGTCTCCCTAGGCGTGTGGGCTGTGCTGGGTACCTCGGCCGCGCTGGGCCTCTCGGTGGCCATCTCGTCCATGCTGGGCGTCGACCTGAGCGTCTTGGTTGCCTCTCTGAATAACTGTGAATGACAGCCACTGGCTGACAGCCAGTCAGGGGTACTGTCGTGAGTCACTTAGGGTAAGGTATTGCCACGACTCTTGACACTTCCTAACCCTAAGTGTCTCAAAGGTTCATATTCACTAGTTTAGTTAAAATGCTAGTATAGCTAGTTCAGAAGTCAGGTTTTCTCTCTAGGCACGTCACATCCGTTGGTCCCTACAGACATCCAAAGGTAAAGACACTAGTGTAAAAACCATTTTTATTGTTTAAAAGAAGTGACAGTAGCACAACTTGTACATATCACCCGTAATGAAATTTCAAGTCAAACGACAACGCATCCTGAACCCGACGCGGTCTGCCGACGGGGGCTTCGTTACCATTCGTTTCTAGGTCTAGCTCAAATCGTCTTCCGCGTCGCCCTCGACTGCTTCCACGTCCTCGACCACTACCTCGCCCTCGTACCCGTCTGTTAGCGTCGCTTCTCCGATCAGTTTGGTCATTTCCTGATGAGCCGTTGTGTTCTCGACCTTCACCTGTATCCCGCTTGAGGTTAAGTCGCCTACTTATGAACACTCGTTGCGAACCTTTCCATCCAGGAATCGTTACGTTTCGTGATCTTAAAGCTGCCAGCACATGAACGCTACACGCGTACTTGAAATATGCACTGCTGTGGTGAAGCTCCAGTTGGCTTTCGTGGATAAGAAAACTGATTGATGGGAAGCGACCCGATCCAGCCCTGAGACTCAT